TAGGGACAGCTAGCGCAGATAGCCCTCGTGTAGCTTTGCGCGAAATTCAAAACAAACAAACTTTTATATGAAGTAAAGCTCTGAATTATCATCTTCTTATAAAATGAGTAAAACAAGACTAGATAAAGGTATAAATAAAATTGCACAACCCTTATACCATATTCATGCATTCTATTGGGATATAAAGAAATAACAAATAAAGGTACAATAAAATATGTTTTTTTATATTTTTACATAATAATTTACTACTAAAGTTTATATTCTCTCATATACTACTTGGTAATATAAAAATAAAATGTTTTTAAAAAGTATTTATAATATTACTAAGTGATCCTACCATTAATGTAATACCAGTATCAATAGATCTCTATATCTTAGTTGTATCCTTTAACCAAAGTATTTTAGTTTATCCTTTTCCAAAATTATTTTCAGTTCTTTACTTTAATATATTATCAGTAAAACACAAGAGCTGCTTTTTCCCACTACTGAAAAAAATGCGTTTCTTTCTTTGTAAAAATATCAGAAAATCTTATTGTATGCTTGTTTGGAAATTTTGAGAAGAGATACATAAAGACCCTCTGCGAAAGCCCAGCACTGATATTCAAATGATAGACTAGACGGAAGTCAACTAGTAAACAGCATTCAGCGCCACATATTTGGCGAATAGAGAGATTTGATTGTCACTGTTATAGCACACTCAAAGACAATAAGTGCGAATTTTTGTGGCATAGGGACGCAAACCATAATCTCTCAGATTCAAAATCCTGGCACGCTAATCATTAGGCCATTTCTGGTCCGTTTTTTTTATGGTATATAGATGTATTAATGTTCTTTTACGTATTTTACACACTTAGAAACAGCCCTTGAAGACACATCTATATAAGGTATTTGGTTAAGTGCTCAAATATCATATTATCATAACATATCCATCTAACTTTATAATATTTCTGAACGCAAATATATATATATATATATATATATATATTATTTTTCTAAAGCATTTCTTTAATTCTTTGAAATATTATTATTATTATGTTGGATTTTCAAAATCATGTAATTAATATTTTTATACTGTTACAAATCACATTCCAGTTCAATATTTCTGTTTGAGAGGTTGATAAATATTTTTTTAGGCATTTGAAAACTATTAGTTTTATTCACTGAAGTAAAAGTAAGGTTTCTTTGTATTCTGTATAAGGAAATACTGGAGGAAAAAATAGAAAATTTAAGTTCACTAATTGACTTACAGAAGTACCATGTTAGAAATCTTACCATTATCTACTTGTAGAATTCATATAATCTTGAACGTATTATATTGAACTCTACAAGAAACTTATTTTAGATTTTTCAGTTTTAGCTCTTTCATGCGATCTCAAAGAAATGATTTTATGAAATTAGTTTAAGGAAATTATTTTATTAATCGTCTTAAAATATTTTAATGTAAAAAGCTTAGAAGGAATATTAGTTAGTAAACGTGTAAAGTAGTTTTAATAAATTTTAAGAAGGCTTAATGTTTTAAAAGGTTTTATCTTTTAAATAAAGCTGAAATACTGGTATAGCTTTATAAAATATGTATATGTACGCAATATAACAAAGGAAGCGTTCTATTTTGTAATAGTAAGTTTCATTTTAAATTATTTAATATTAACACTACACTAGTACTGAGAAATTGAATACAAAAGATTTATGCTTAAACTTGGAAGAGATGTTAATCATTATTGATTTTGATTCAAGACAGTAAAATTAAATCGTCATAATAAAATAAAGCGTTAATGTTGCATAAAAGATGTCTGTCATGATGAACAAATCTTAAACAGAAATGTTGTTATATTTGATATCAACAATTGGAAAGGACTGCTATTTTAAACAAAAGAACTAGTGTTAGAACAAGCCACCGGATGACGGACGTACGGATATTGTAATTTCGCGAACGTGACCGAGGACACAGCGGGAAAATCGTTTTTATGAGAATCGGTAAGGTAAAACGCTAAGTACTTGCATCACATTTTTTTATTTTACCCTACTAGCAGTAGTATGACTCACATTGCGTTCCGTGAAATGGTTATTTGACAAATAGTGTTGAGGAATACACTCTAAAAGTTGTTGACTCAAAATGATTGAATAAGAAACCATAACAAACTGAAAATTTATAAAAATTGCACGTGCAATGGTCGAAAGATAGGTCAAGTAAGTAAAGGAATGAAGAATATTTTAGACAGAGGATTAGACACGGACATGAAACGGATATAGACTCTCTAAAGAATGTCATCAAGGTGGATTTTACTGTTCGTGGCTCAGCGAAAACAAGTCTGACAAGAAGTTAATTTTGGATATCGTATGAACAGCTCCAGGCTACAGAAGCTTCTCTTCACACTAGTCTCTTTTAACTGACAAGGTTTGACTTGTTATCAAGTGTGGTAGGACAGTTTTAAGGGTCTACGAGGCTGTTTCGAATGTACTATAGCGAGGTGGAATACTCTTTTAAATGGATGTCAAAATGGTTGAGTGTATTTTTCGAGTTTATAAGTCTGTATACATAGGCAAATACATCCTTTTCAAATTAAAGGTTTGTTAGGAATAATATAATTTTGGCGCCACTTTCAAGATTCCTCTGTTAGTTAAATATCAAATATAAATCACATATTACAGTAAAACAATATAATCATGACATTTTTCCTAACTAAAAGTTCTCTTACTTGTCTCGCTTCCTGCTATATACTGTTTCACCAGTTGCTGACATCATTCTTTGGTCATTAAATAGGTAGATGTTTTATGAACGCGTTCATTGCCATAAAATTGTGATAGATATTACTGTTTATAATATTTTTTAAGATAATAAATATCGTGGACCAATGTATCACGGAGTTTATCAACGTATAGTCTAAACCTGAGAGAACAAGTTCGTGAACAAAAATGCCATTTGGGAAACACTAGCTTATGGACTCTCAAACTTTTTGCTACCCACTCCCTTGAAAATATTTCAGGTTATCACGACCCTCTTCTCTCACATACATACAAACAAAAAAAGAATTAATTGATAATAACAAATTCCTGCATATACTCTAAAATATCAGTT